AATAAAAACATGTAATGTATTTTCTTCTCCCCAATATTTTAGAATTAGATTATATCAAAATTAAATTATCACAAAAAAAAATTATCATAAAGGTATTCACCTTATCATATGCATATGATCAGTTAACAGTAAATATAAAGTAATACATAATACAAAAGGTCAAATAGTTAAACGACTTATCTTTACAGCACTATAAGTCCATAGGAAAAACTCCTCTTGGCACGGCTACATCAGTTTGTGGCTGTAAAGACGAATCCTGGTCACAAAAGCCACAACCAGTCACTGGTCTCTGGGTGACAGCAAAATCCACGGGTTTGCTAACTATGTATCTAAGGATTCTGTTACTAGTATCCTTGAGGGAATATTCTCAAGAGAATATCCTCAAGTAAAGTGAAATTAATATTTTCACGTGACGGAATCTAAAATGATTATTTAATTTAATAAATATGTAATTTAATAGGTGTAGCAGCATGGATTGACTGCACCAAAACAAAACATCAAAATATCAGGTATTAGGTTAAGTCAACATCATGTCAAATTTATGAAGTTACTTTCGTAGGCATGGCAAGCTTGCGCCATGAAATAAACATGCGCAGAATACAGAAGGCTGTCCCACATTTGTAGAACCTTTTTATATTCCACCAAAAAAAGTTAGTTAAAAGGAAACCAAAAAAACTTAATGATAAGATATGAAATAGATCGGAATTTAAGTTTGACTATATAAAAAAATGACCTTCTGTTCTTTGCAAGTAAATCAAGGAAATTTTATATTTAAATTATTTCGGAACTCAAAAATAAATCTCTAAAGAAATACTAAATACAATGATAAATTTGATTATATGATAAGGAGATAATACGTATAAAATGATTTACTTACATGGAGCTCGCAGCACGCCAACAAAAAAACTCTTCCTTTTTATGTGGAACTCATAAATGAATATTGATTTTATTATTTTACTTATTATTATTAAGATATGTATTTTATTTATAAATTAATTTATTCTTCCCCAAATTATCTTCCTTGCTCCAATTCCGTCACTTTAAAGGTGAACAATTTCACCGGCTGACGTGGCTGCGTTCGTTCGAGTTCTGACCAAAACTGATCGTTCCGTTTCCGCATAAAATCGATCTTCCTTTCCAAGCGATAACAGCGCGTGGGGAAAAATGTCGATTTCAAATCGATCGTAGGCGGGTAATAAAAATTTCTTGAGGGGTTTAAATTGGACTAGTCAGTAGCGTAAACGCTACATTGTCCTCTCGAAAAGACCCTCCGGCCATTCTTGACTCACTAGATCCATGATCTCGTCTGCCCCCTTACACTCATCCAACTCTTTCGAATTTCGTTCACCCTATTCTCATTCATTTGCAGGTCATCAGATATTGTATCCTGCACACCTGCATTCCTTTTATCACGTCCAAGAGACGTCTCCGTCTGCCTCCCCGTCGAACTTACACACTTCCTTGGTACCTCTCTTTCACTATTCCCTTGTCTGCTGGCCAAAGAGAGAAGCTTCCCGGCACGGGATATCTCCCTCTCCAACCCGCAGAACAGGGTGTTGATCTTTTTTACACCGGACTTGATTTCCATTTTGGTGTTGACGTTGACTTTCGTCAACCTCAACACCTCTTCCAACTCTACTTTTAACCGGGACATCTCCCTCTCAACCTTATTGAGATTGACAGGGGGATGCTCGGCGATTTCGGCGACTCCGCTCTCCTCTTTCTCTTGCCCCTCACCTGGGACCAGCCCGAACTATTGCCCGCGTCGTCTAAATCGACCGGCTCTGGAGAACTTTCAGACCCAGAACTCGGTCTAATCTCTCCCTTTACCCTCTCTACTCTGACCCCTACCACACCAACGGGAGTTTTTCTGGTCTCACCCGCAGCACTCTCACCGCACACGCGCTTGGGCCGCGGGGGCGTTCGCCCGATCTTCTCAGACCGAGCGAACACTCCCGAGCCCTCACCTCTCGCTCCTTCAACATCATTTACTTTATTTATATTTATATCCATATGTGTCCCACGAGTAGGGCCGAAAATATCCGTCCAGCGAGGCAGTGCGCCCTTACCTCGCTAAGGCTATCATACAACGAGAAGATGCCATTCTCCCCGAGGGCTCCGTTCGAGACCATCTGACGCTAGGCCACTCATCCCATAGGCACGGGTCGCTTAACACCTGGAGATTGCGGATTTTTTCATGAGGTTTACTTCTCCCAGCGGTAGTCGCACGCATGCATGCCGGTCGTTGTGCCTAAGAGCCAACGAACTATACCTGGTGCCGATTCATCAAGTCGAGCATCCAGTTTTATTTTGAATGTAAGTATGTTAGTACCATCGACAGTTATAACAAGTAGTTTCTGGTTAAGATTTTTGTTGTATTTTTGTTTTTTTTTTGAGTTACTGAAGTCATGATGCATTGTTCCAATAGTTAGAAAATGCTACTGTTGTTCCAACCTGGATTTTGTTTGCCCTAATCGAAAACTTTTCCTGTCTGTCCAGTTTTCGCTCTTACGTGGGGGTATTGTAGCATTTGCGTTTTACTTGGTATACATTGGAATCCCCTCGTATATCTATTAAATTAAAATCGCCTGGTATATACTTAAAACATTGAAGAATAATTTCAGTGTATTTCAGTTTCCTATCGTGAAAGTTAAAATACCCAGAAGTGTTTTCAACCCTTTTATTTGCATCGCTGGAGTTAATGTAAACCATTTTATAGTTTGTTTATATTTCACAGATGCGTTTTTTCCCGGCATTCTTTTGCGTTTCATATTCTGTGTTGCAAATAAATATTTTTGTTAAGTGTTTTGTTTATGCCAAGTTAAGCGATTGAATTTTGAAGATAATTTCATCACTCTCGCTGAGGCGTTGTCAGCTGCTTCTAGCGTTTGTATAAAATTCTACGTCGATTTCGTATTGTTTTCTCATTTTTCGCCCTTTTCATGGAAATCTAGTGTGTAGTGAAGTAAAGTAGCAGTTTAGTGGTTTAATTACAGTTTTAAGTAAGGTTTTGAAAGATATCCACATATTCCAGTTTCCTGTTATTTTAAGAAGCCGAGTATAAAGTTTGTGTCCCAGTGCCACTTCGACATTATTTTTGTTTGTCCCTAGTCGTTGTTCCACACTATAAATGTAGTCTATTTGTTCGTGAGGCAGATTCAAGTGATGTCTGGTTTCCAGCCCCAGCATTTTTGTGAAAAACCCCGGTGCAATGCAGGTAACTTTTGTGTTAAATTTCACAGGAAAAGTATAAACATTTTGATTAATAATTGCTTTCATCATTTAAAAAGATAATTTTTTATTTGTAATATTTTATTTGTGTTATAAATTAAATAGTCCAGTAACAATATTAAGTGTTTCTTTTTGTTATTTTTGTATTTACTTTTGTAACTATTCATATATAGTATTTGTGTATTGTCTATGTTTTATAACTGTTTGTGGTGAGACACAATAAATGTTTAATTTTTTTAAACTATTTTGTTTATTTATCTTGACTAACTCTCTAACCCCTTTTTTGAGTCTCATTTGAAAAGATATATTTTTTATTTTTAATAATTATTTCAATAGTTACAACTTGTTGTAATCGTTATAATTTCACATTTCGCACCTTGAAGCGGCGTAGATTTTACATTGCTAGAGGTCTTTCTTGTGTTTTGTTTTGTTTGCCCCAAGAGATTCATGTAAGTACCCCTTAGTTTCATTTTTTAGTTGCCCCAATCCAGCCCCCTTGCCATTCACTTATTCACGACCCTAGCTCTCCACGGCCCTGAGTGCCGTTCGCACAAGTACCGTTTATTTTGCTTGCCCTATTTCCACCGTCAGTAACTTCTGTCCCCAATTTTCAACCCCCATAATCATACCCTATGTGGTAGGGAAATATATTTGTTACAGCATGTTTATTTTCTTACGCTATGATTTTAATTTTATTTTCGTATAAACACTTCTCATGGTAATTGACTATTATAAAGACAAATTGTTTAGTTTTTTTTGGGATAACGTAACTTTTTAACGTAGAATCTTTTAATAACTTTTTGTTCCTTATAAAATAATAAAGGTTAACTTTGTTTTTAATTTTCCATTATTTATTCTTTGGGCACGATTCTTACGAGGATAAACATATGGATGGCGCTCATTTTATTTTAATTTTAAAGATAATACATACAGCTTCTATACGATTTTTGAAAAAATCGCACCCAAACTCTTCGTCGCGATCAGAACGGCCTATATTGCTTAAATACCTAAGTAAATAGTTTGCTCAGATTACAAATTAGTAAAAAATGATGAAAAACGCGAAAAACGTACCACTCGGTCTGTCAGAACCCATTCACCCAAAATATGCAACCTCCCGATTCGATTTGTTTTTCGGTTAACGCTTTGAGCAAGACCGTGTGTGTCATAGCATTTACGAAAACTGCTGAAAAAATTTAAAAACAGGCAAATCATGAAAATTGCTGAAAACATCAAAAAAATCATAAATCACGATAATGACTAAAAAATGTGAAAAACACCGAAAAACTCGAAAATCGCGGAAAATGCTGAAAAACGTGAAAAAATCGAAAAACTCTAAATTAGCAAAAAGTGCTGAAAAACGCGAAAAAGGTACCGCTCGTTCTGTCATTACTTATTCACTGAACATAGGCAATCTCCCGATTCAATTTTACTTTCGGTAAACGCTTCGGTCAAAACCGTCTACATATTTTGACTTCTTCGTACGCCATTATTCAGTCTACATATAACTGGTGCATATTGACGTTTTTTATGATTTTTGATATTTCGCTTATTTTTATTATTTTTTGGTACACCGAATCCCCCTAATGTTATTTTAAGTGATTTTTGAGTTTTTCGGTATTTTTCCTGTTTTAACGTAATTTTTCTGCATTTTTCTTGATTTTTGATATTTTAATTAGCAAGGCTCAAATTCAACGAATATTTTAAGTCAAATTTGAAATAAAAGACTTTTTTTCAAAATTGTTCGTATATTTAGAAAAACTTAGAAGTGAGTAAACTAAAACTGTTCAAAAATAATTATTTATGTATGAATATTTATTTGTAAATTAATGCATTTTTATTAAAAGGTAGTTTTGTTTAAAGTATTTTTTCTTATGTGTGTAAAATACTTGTGGCTTAATGCTTCTCTTGCAGTTATTCTCTTCGCGTGATCAATTTTTAACAAACTTTCCAATAAATTTACAGATTGTTCATTTAACATATATTCATGTTCGGTGTTAACAAATTTCTGCCAAGATTTTCTGGTATGACTACCAATTACCTTTAGACTTGCTTGGTCAAAGATAATTTTGTATTTGTTAAGATATTCAACAAGTTCACGTGTCCCTAAAACAAACAAAATACGTATTTTAATATAGTATGTCGTTAAAAATATTGTGAATTTAAGACTTTTATCTGTGCTCATCGGTATTGAGGAAGTATATAATCCAATAGCTGAACAATAGCTGATTCTTATTTTAAGATATCTGAAAATCTGAAGATATTTTGGTTTATTATATTGTTACGATTTTAAATGTTATGGCATATAGAACTGTAAATATTTTATGACTAATTCTTTTTTATTGATTCTCGTAATTTGTAGGTCAAAATATACCTGAGCTTCGCTACCAGTTGTTTACAGAAATCTCTAGACACTAATTTTAGTGAGTCATCCACGTCTCGAGGTTGAAAAACGAGTCGAGCGCCTTCACCAAAATACGAGATTATTCAGGAAGTTTGCCGAAAGTTCCAGATGACAACAGTTGTGTATATAAATGAAAGATTTTTGTATTTGAGTCAGTCATAAGAAGATCGGTAAACGCGATATTTAAATGTAACGAAACGTGAAATAAATACATTTGTAAAGTTATTTAATAAATTAGTAATTAGCTATCGTGAGTTTTAATAAATTAGAATATAGACAATAAATTAGAATAAAGACAAATAAATTAGAACTATATAAACTTCACAGTGGTGCAGAAGTGGGATCGTAGATAAATTTAATTTGATTTTTGAAAAAGACTTTTGAACTTTTGAAAGGTATTGTTCGTCGGGAACATCCGCGTAGTTCAGTAGTGATCGTTGTACGAAAGAACATTTAAAAAGTACGTGTGTGCCTGACCAAAGATGCTGCTAGTAGAACTTTCAGTGAAACAGTTGCGTGAGCAACTAGAAGAACGCGATGAAGACTGCAGCGGGTCCAAGAAGATCCTCCAAGAACGACTGAAGACTGTTCTCAACAAGAATGGAGACGACCCAGAGACATTCCAGTTCCAGTCAGCAGAAGAAGCCGTTTTAACTAAAATAATCGATGGAAAATGATGAGAATGTTTCCAAAAGATTCGATGAAACGTCTCAAAAGATCGAAGAGAGTTCTAAAAAAAATGATGAAAGATTCAATGAAACGTGTCAAATTATTAAAGAAGTAGCTAGACAAAACGACGAGAAACTCGAAAATGTGTCTAGAAGATTCGACGAGAAATTTGAAAATGTTTCTCAAATGATGGAAGAAACTTCTAAAAAGAATAATGAGAAATTTGAAGAAGTCTCTAAAACATTTGATAAAGTTGAAGAGAAAATCAAACAGTTAGAGACCATGATAACTAACACGAGAGTGCTACCACCAATTAATACGGTAGCTTTAGATCCGGTAGAGATAAAAGAAGACGAGACAAAATGTAAGTTGGAAACACGGCCGAAATTTGAAGGAAGCGGAAGTTCCGTTCATGTCAAAGTCCCAACTTTCGACGGAAAATCATCATGGAACAACTACATGAAACAGTTCGAATCAGCTGCAAGAGCGAATGGATGGTCTGAAAAAGAAAAGGCTGTAAACCTGACTATCGCTCTTCGAGGAGATGCCTTAGATGTGCTCCAGACCATAGCCGTAGAGAAGACGGATGATTTCGAACAACTGAAGAAGAGGTTAAATATGCGATATGGCCACGAACACTTGGAGCATGTATATCAGTCGCAGCTCAAAAATCGAAGACAAAAGAAAGATGAGGCTCTTCAAGAATATGAAGTAGATATCGCCAGATTAGTGCGATATGCTTATCCAACAGCTCCCGAAGACATGATGGAAAAGTTGGCCGTTCAAACGTTTATTGATGGTCTTCGTGATCATGAGATGCAAAGAACACTACGATTAGCTCGTCACAAGACGCTGGTTGATGTCTTATCCGCCGCCCTCGAATACGAGTCAGCTACGCAGGCCTCTGGCGGTTACAGTAAAGTTAGGACTGTAAAAGAGGAAGAAGATGAAGATAAACTGAACCAGCTCGTTAATATGATGAAAAGCATGACATACAAGAAGACGAAGACCATAAGATGCTGGAATTGTGGCGAAATAGGACACGTACGAAGTTCATGTAAGCATCCTAGGTACGACACAAATCAAGAAACTCACCATCAGGAAAACTAGAACGGGTCGGCCTTAGGGGGGCAGCTTCGACCCAGAACTTTTCCAAAGACCCTCTCATACTAATAGCTTCTTTGAAATGTCGTGAAGATAGTGTATATGTAGATGGAGAAATAAATGGTAAAAAGCATACGTTGTTGGTGGATACCGGAGCGACAAGAACCATTATTCGCCCGACAGTTATAAACAGCCAAAAAAAACTGTTACCAACGAGGTTGCGACTTCGGACCGCCACAGGTGAAAATGCCAACATTCATGGAGAAATCCAGGTACAATTAGGAATTGGAGCAGAAAAGTTCGTCCATACTGTTATAGTTGCTGACATCGAAGAGGATGTTATATTAGGAATGGACGTAATGAATACGCATGGATTCCAATTGGATTTTAAAAATAAAGTAATCAAAGTTGGTAACGAGGAGGTATTTCTCCATCCACATGATGACAACACTATGCAAGCAGCCGTTAAAGAAGATACAGTCGTGCCTGCGAGAAGTGAAACGATAATAGTAGCGCGGCTACAGGGAATTGTGGACGAAGGAACACCTGTTATGATGGAGCCTTGGAATCATGACGACGAAGTTGGCCGTGGAATCATAATTGGAAAAGAATTAGTGACTTCGGCTAAAGAAATTCCTGTGAGACTTATTAATGTCAATGACTACCCAGTGACCATCAAGAAAGAGACAAAAGTAGGAACTTGTGTACCTGTTACATCCATAATCCGTCAGACGACAACGTCTGATAATTCCAACGATAAATTTGATCAAATGGTTGCAGTTGCTGGACAGTCTCTGAATCAGATTGAGAAAAGGAAATTAAGGGAATTTCTTCGGCAGTATCGTGATATTTTCGTACCGAAAGGAGGAAAGACGGGAAGAACTACCGTTGTTAAGCATAGAATTGATACTGGTAATGCTAAGCCAATTCGTCAAACAGCTCGACGATTACCACAGGCGAAAAGAGAGGAAGCTGAAACGATTGTTCAGGAAATGAAGAAAGACGGGGTGATAGAACCTTCTACGAGCCCATGGGTCTCTCCGGTAGTCCTGGTTAAGAAGAAAGACGGAACAACGAGGTTCTGTGTGGATTACCGTTTGCTGAACAACGTTACCAAGAAAGATAGTTATCCTCTGCCTCGGATTGATGACACATTAGACACATTGGCTGGAAGTAAATTATTTTCTTCTTTGGATTTGAAGTCTGGATACTGGCAGGTAGAAATGGACCCGGTAGATAAAGAAAAGACAGCCTTCACCACAGGATCTGGATTATGGCAATTCAACGTTATGCCATTTGGACTTTGTAACGCTCCTGCGACATTTGAGAGACTTATGGAAAATGTGTTGAGAGGGTTATCTTGGAAAACGTGCCTAGTTTATCTAGACGACATAATCGTCTTGGGGGAGACATTTGAGGACCATCTGAAGAATTTAGAAAACGTTTTTAATCGACTTAAAGCTGCCCAATTGATGTTAAACCCCAAGAAGTGCCAGCTATTTCAAGGTAAAGTCAATTATCTGGGTCATATAGTCAGTAAAGAAGGAGTGGCCGTGGATAAGGGAAAAATCGATTCCATTAAGGAATGGCCAAAACCAACTGACAAACATCAAGTGAGAAGTTTTCTTGGACTATGTACTTATTACCGGAGGTTTATTAAGAAGTTTGCAGATATCGCTAAACCATTAACGCGACTTACAGAGGAAGCAAGAGAATACCGCTGGGATGTAGACTGCCAAAATGCCTTTGAGACCTTAAAAAAGCATTTAATCACAGCACCGATTTTAGGGTATCCACTGCCAGAAGGAGAGTTCATCTTAGATACAGATGCAAGTAATGTGGGAATTGGAGGAGTGCTGTCCCAGATTCAGGGAGGACAGGAAAGAGTCCTTGGATATTTCAGTAAAGTTCTCTCAAAACCTGAGCGGAATTATTGCGTCACGAGAAGAGAACTTCTGGCAGTAGTAAAATCAGTAGAGCACTTCTATCAATACCTCTATGGAAGGAAGTTTTTAATCCGAACCGACCATGCCGCCCTTAAGTGGTTGATGCAGTTTAAGAATCCAGAGGGTCAGATAGCCAGGTGGATCGAACGACTCCAAGAATATGATTTTAAGATTGAGCACCGGGCCGGAGTTAGCCACCGAAACGCTGATTCTCTTTCCAGAAGGCCATGCCCAGCAGAGTGTTCTCACTGCAACAAAACGGAATCCAAGGAAGCAGCAGTGCTAAGAACGACGGTGGTCCACGACGACTGGACGCCTACCAAGATCAGGGAAGAACAAGAGAGAGATCCAGTTATACAGAAAATCCGAAAATGGAAAGAAGAAAACCGTCGACCACCTTGGCAAGAAATATCGAACCTAGGCTCAATAGTTAAGACGTATTGGGCCCAGTGGGACTCATTTATCATGGAAGATGGCTTGCTCAAACGAGTCCTGGAAAATGATGACGGTTCAGAGAAGAGAAGACAGTTGGTGATTCCAAAGAGCAGAATAGCCGAAGTACTTCGTCAGTTACACGACAGTCCATCAGGAGGGCATTTTGGTGTGAAAAAGACCCTTCAGCGAATTCGGGAACGGTTTTATTGGATGAACAGTTCCGACGATGTAAAAGACTGGTGTAAGAAATGTACTATTTGTGCTACGAGTAACGGGCCTTATCGAAAAAGGAGAGCTCCTATGAGACAATATAATGTTGGAAGCCCGTTTGAAAGAATAGCTTTGGACATTGCTGGGCCATTTCCAGAAAGTGATAATGGAGGCAAGTACATGTTGGTAGTAATGGATTACTTCACTAAGTGGGTCGAGATTTACGCACTTCCAGACCAGAAGGCCGCCACCGTTGCAGATAAGTTGATCCAAGAATATATCAGCCGATTTGGAGTGCCTTTGGAGATCCATAGTGACCAAGGCAGGAACTTCGAAAG